AATTAGGATTTATTATACTGTTACTCATTCGTTTAGACGATAAAAATCGGTGTTAATTTAGTTAAATAACATAGAAATTAATTGAACGCTTAATACTTTTTAATGTTAAATATTATTTTCAATGGAGTTTTAACACACGATAACTGCACCGTATATTTCAAAATCACCGCCGGTCGTGTTTGATTTAGTCCAGCGGCCAATTGGGATTATATTGTTATAAAATGACTTTTTTATTTTATTATATAGATATATTCAAATAAATTTTATAATTAGTTTTGTCCAAAATAATATTTAGAAAAAAGTTATATAACGTATTGAGAAATCACTTATTTTGCAACACACGTACAAGCATATTACAAACTTTTAACAGACCAAGTATATTTTGCTTGGTATTAAATGTATTTTATTTTAATTGATATTAATTTAGTTTTAGATAATTCAAAGAACGAGATAATAAAGAACTTATTATCACAATAAATAAATTTTTTATTTGTATTATTTATAATTGCATCACGAGTATTTAGCAATAAAATACAATAAGTCTAATTTAAATAAAATTATAATTAATTTGCATTTTACAAAACACTGTTGTAAATCAATTATGTTGTAAAATAAAACATAAATCATTATAGAACACAGATCTGTAATCTTTTTAACCACAATTCATATATGAATAATGTGGTTTATAGGATCGTGATGCCCCCACCCTATGGGATTGAACATGGGATTACAGCTTAAGTCTATGACTATACTTTAACATAGGGTTCTTAAGTCTATGGGGAATTAACATAGGATTACAGCATAAATCTATTATGCGAGGTTTCCGGGATTGGCTAAGTCCTGGAGGTTAAAGACCTCGTGGGGGTGATATTCGCTGTTGTGGGCGGCGATGGGCTGGTGTTCTCGTGACTATGGGCGACGAGAGACGCAGGGGTTCTCACAATGTTGGCAGTGAGTGCCGAGTCCTCGTTGCCGTGGGCGTGAAGACAAAACGCCGAGTCGTTACTATTAGAGGCGGTAATGACTATTACGCCGAGTCTTCACTACTGTAGGCGGTGATGACCAAACGCTTGAGTTCTCCAGAGACTTCACGTCGTATCCCACTGCCGTCGGGGCTTCAGGCCAGTCCCTCTGTGTGTCGTTTCCTTCCTGACCACTGTTGTGGACCAAAAGGATATCGCGGATCACTCGTGTGATCAGCGAAATACGAGATACAGCAGAAAGACTTCAAATTACTTTATTGTTAACGGTTTGGCGGGTGGGAGAGAACTGACTGCTAGAGGCAGACAGTGCTCTCCAGCAAAACATTAGATACAGCAAATAATTGTTATCAAAATAAGATAAGAGATTATCTTGAGGAGATAATCTCGAAATTACATTTTGTGGAAAATAAAACATTGGAATTCAAATGGAAAAACACATTAAACTCCTGAATGACTAAAAATGAATAATAAAAGGAGTTATTATTTGGGGGACAAATATCTCGCATCATAAATCTTTGGCTATACTTTAACATAGGTAATGCAGCATTAGTAATCCTAAGTTTATGGCAATGCTAATAATATGGACAATGTTATGTCTATGGCAATGCTAATTGTATGGGTAATGCTAAGTCTATGGGGAGTGCTAATCCTATGGACTCTCATTAAATGTGTAGATAATGCTATTCTTTGAGCATTACCCGAATTGTGGCTAATGTATAGCATCGCTGTGTGAACCTTGTTTAAATTCATAACCGGCCCCTTAAACAGTCCTATCTAATTAAATCTGCTACTTTTCCCGTTATACCCAACGCCAACACCGCCTCCGCCTCTATATTAGTGGGCTATAAATGTGCCAAAAATATCAAACAGTTTTATCATTTATAAATAAAGGACAAAGTTCAATGTAAATTGTTAAAATGCCAAAAATTTTATATTAAAATTTTATATTTGTTTTTAATTTGCAAAATTAATTATCATTGTGAGCATAATTAAAATTGATATAAATGATGTACAGTAATTACGTTAATCAATATAAAAAACGTTCATAACTGTTACTAAATTTCTTAATTTTGATATAACTTTTACCCATTATGTCAGATTTGGGAAATTCCTTCAGATATCGATTCTACTCATCCATACCTTTCCATTGATATATAATATGGTATACTTATTTATAATATACACGATTTGATATTAAAATTTTTTCCGATAAAAGTGGTCACTGCGGCCAAACCCGAAGTCGTCTGGCCAAATAAAATATACCACAATACTTCCTACAGAGTGTACTTTCGATTTATAATAATAATTNACCCGAAGTCGTCTGGCCAAATAAAATATACCACAATACTTCCTACAGAGTGTACTTTCGATTTATAATAATAATTCCCGATTGCACTCTTGGCATTTTTTGAACATTATTATTTATCTGTTCTATATTAGGCTTAATTATTATTACAATTTAATTAATCAATTATGGTTAGAATGATTTCAATTCTTTATTAGCCTACACACATTTTGCTGCTAAGATTAACGTTAATTAAAACTAATTAGAGTTAAATAAATCAGCTTGAAAACACTATTCAAATAATAATACAATTTTAATATTGTGTTAATAAATTATATTCAAATATATTTTAATATACATTTATTAAAAATAGTTAACACGACAATAATTGTACTGCTAAACAGCAACGTTTACTTTGAATGTAGCTGCAGCAAGTACCTTATTTTTGTAGTACCAACCGTGATCGGTAAGCTGAAATACAACATCACGAATGCCCTGAAGTAATAAATAATAAATATCAATAGTAAGTATAAATAGAAAAATCAATTTGTAACATACAAGGGGTGTGCCATAGTTAGGAGCAGATTGATCAGGATCGTTATATTCGTAATAGACTTTGTCGGTACAAATCCAAATGGTTTTCACTACAGTGTATGTGCTCTTTAGGACGACATCCCTTTTTTCATCATAATTGGTGACCGCATACTGTGGATCGTATCGATAATAATCGGTCCATAAGTTTATGAATGTTTCAATGGTAGGGGAATCTTCGGGTACTTCAAAGTCTATTGGGAATTGATTTTGAATTTTAAATGGTATTTAAGTTATATTTGGTACATATTAACAAGAAATACATACCGGCCTGAAATGTGATAGATACGTTGATTGGTTTGCCCAAGGTAAGGGTACAGGGCTCAGCAGTACAGCCTAGTATTTCCACGCGCTTTATAGCGTTGCCAACTATTTAAAAAGTTTTAATATTTTAATATATTTATTTATTTGTTTAATTAGTTAGAATTAATATAAAGTTTTAAATGAATTAAAATAGTATAATATAAGATTAAATATATATTGGTGTAATTAAAATATTAAATAAATAAATACAAAGAGAATGGTAAAAATACTGACCTATGTTGCGGACCTCGACGTCAACCGCCGCACAAATCGGTAAAACAATTACTAAAATACTTAACAAATGTTTCATTGTTTTTGTTGAAATGATGTCTAATTGTATTTTACAAAATATGTTGTATATATATACCATAATGGCTATCAATTGAGAGATACATGTGACCCATTGATTATTTAGTATAGTTGTATAATATTTTTAAATTAATTATATATTAAGTTATAAGTGTTTTGATACAAAGCTCATTAAATTGATATTAATTGTACTTATTGTACCCAAAAAGAAGAATGGTAAATCTAGTTAACCAATCGTTTGGGATTGAAATAAATGGTAACCCAGAATTAGTTTTGTACAAACAAATAAAGTCAAATAAAAAAGATGTTTATTTAAGTAAAGTAAAGTAAAGTAAAGTAAAGTAAAGTATCTTTTTATTGGAATCATTATCAGCACTGCTGGTTTTCATAGTAATCCAATTACATTTAGTGTTTTTATATACAATACATATTTGATATATTTCAAACATTTCATTACAAATACATATCATATAACATATGAGTACTTGGCGATCATGGGGATCCTAGCACCTAATGTATTTCCTATGGACAATGAGCAGTAGTCATAACTCAAAAAGTACTGGACCAATATTTACAATTTATATATCAAATTGTACAGAATGAAATTTAATTTGAGACCAGTATCAGGATTTTTCCTATAAATGTGAAGAATCAGATTATAATCATATTTAAGAGGTAAAAATACAATAATTTAAAGCCTTGCTATTTAAAAAGTACAAATCCAATTTTAATTATTGGTATATTAAATTAGTCATAATTGAAAATAAAAAAATATAAATTTTTAGTTTTTAAAAATTCCAATCGTAAACAATATTTTGAACTTAAATTCTAATTTTATGTGCAAAAATGAGGCTTAAAATTAAAATATTGGAATTCAAAAAAATTATATTATTATATTCTTAATTTGAACTCATTTTATATACTGATACTTAAATTTGAATAAGTATTTTTTTAATGGCACGGCTTTAAAATATGACATTTTTACCTATTTAATATGAGTGTACTCTGGTTCTTCACATTTATAGGAAAAATCATGATACTGGTTTCAAATTAAATTTCATTTTGTACAATTTGATATATAAATTGTAAAAATTGGTCAAGTACTTTTTGAGTTATGACTACTGCTCATTGTCCATAGGAAATACATTAGGTGCTAGGATCCCCATGATCGCCAAGTACTCATATAGTCTATATTCTACTGTTTGTGTGAAGCTGTGTTGGTGTAGGCGTGTTGTCTGTATGGTATGTAATGTCATGTGATTGTCGTTCGAACAGTTGGCGTTCTCATCGATTTGATCTTCGATTTCAGACCAGGAGCTCGTATTACTGGGAGTCGAACCCCCATCCTGTAGGCCCGGGAGTGCAATGATAGCTACAGTCCAAAGGTTACCCCATGGAAAACCAACTCTGCGCCACCGCCGCGCCATTATTTCATTATTTTTACATGGAAATTTTCATCAAACACAAATAAACAAGGTAAATCTAAATATGTAGATTATGATATATGAAATATCTACCAAAAAAGTAAGTTTGTAGGGATTTAATTATTGTGATCGTGGGTAATTTACACAATGAGGGAGATTTCTGTAATAAAAAATTTTAAAAAATAAATGTTCTTAATAAATTACCTTTATCCTTTTTGTAAGACGTTTATTATTATTATTATATTAATTAATTAACTATTGAATCAAATCAATGTCTATTCAATATGTTTCACCTGAAATACAAGTATGTTGTGTAACAAAAGGTTCATAATTTCTTATTTTGCATCATTTTGCACTACACTATCTGAATGTACAGATCTAAAGCATATAAGCATATAAAGCATATAAAGCATATTTAGTACATGCCTTAAATTGCACTTACTTATTACTGGTAAATCAATGATCGATCAATTGAACTATATAAAATAAAATTCTTGATAAATTCCAACAAACTTATTATTTTGCTTGGTATTAAATATATTTTATTTTAATTAATATTAATTTAGTTTTAGATAATCCAAAGAGCGAAATAATAATAAACCAGAGCATTGCATTATAGGTGTTTATAAGACACAAAATAGTCACTATAATAGTTACGAAAAACAGCCCAAATAGTTACTTAAATAGTTAGTTATAATTTGACAAAATAGGCTTAAAAATGATATAAAATGTTACCAAATGCCAGTTTTACTCTTTAATAAGTTAAATATAACTGTTTTTAAGCTAAATCACTTGTATTTAACTAAATTAACTGTTTTTAAGAATATTTTTAATTATTTTGGTCCAAACCCTGAAATTCAGGGCCTGAATACATACAACTCATAATTTTGGTCATTCTATCGCTTTGAATGATAAATTATTGCAATATCTTATAATAACCTTTAGATTTGTCATAGTTTACTTTATTTAAACTTTTTGCTAACTAAAAAATGTAAATTAAGTTGTAATTTTCTTTGTGTTTTATACTAAAATATATCAAAAACTTGAAAAATGTGTTAAATAGTTACTTATTAGGTAATAAACGTTCAAATAGTTACGAACGCCTCAAATAGTTAAATATAGTTAAAATAAACTTTCGGTAAACTGACCCTCAATTCATGATCGGTTCACATCCCTGAGTCTGGGGGTAAAGCTATGAACCGCTAAAAATAGGTGGTATAGGTAAATGCAATTCCCTGTAAATAACTTATTATTTCAATAAATATATTTTTAAATTGATTTAATTATAATTGTACCATGAATATTTAATAATAAACACAAAAGTTTAGCCTAAAGTTTAAGTATAAATTACATTTGACCAGCTAGATAAAAACATATACAGTACTTTATTTATCTTGTAATGATATTTCAATCACTTTTATCAAAATGCACGTAAAGAAAGCAATAATCTATATAATTATAACAATAAAATTAATTTGTTACCAAGTTACATAACAATACCAACCTCATAGCATCTGGAATAATTGATATGAAACAATTTCCAACACGAAAAGCCCACATCTCTATGCGATAACCTTTCCAGAAATGTCATAATCTGTTCAAAATAAGTAAACTGTTATAAGAAGCAAATATGAAAAATATTGAATACTTTAATTTTATGCATTAGTTGTTTGCCATTAAAACTCAAATAATGAGGTGAAGCCATAAACTGGTAGTAAATGTCATGCGTTTTGTTGGACTCGTTGTTAACGGAAGAGGCGGTGAATATAACAAACAGAAAGAGTGAACCCAAGAGTATATTCCCGTAAATGAGTGTCAATTGAAACACGAGTGAAACCGACGAGAAAATACTGGTCACAGAAAGCAATACAACCGCTGAACCGAAATTAAACCAAAAACTCAGCAAAAACTTTGACCAAAACGTACCGTTATATTCATCGATCTCGTTGTAAATCTGGTAATATTTGTGTATTTTAAATACCATTACGATATATCGCTTTCGCCAATTACCGGCTAATAATTGGTTATTTAGTGAACGTAGTTTATTCCGTAAATAGTAACATAATAAATAAAAATGTACAACTTTATATATAATTAAGTTAAGCGCGAAATAAGTGGAAAATGTAAACATCACTGCATTTGGAAAACCATAAATAATAACTGTTTTCAAATCGCAAAACATTATATACGGTGTAATAGACATCATAAGGCAAACAATGGGTAGAAATATATTTTGGTTATATTTTACCAATTTAATTAAATATTTAGTTTTTATTAACAAATTTTTAACCAAATTACCGCTAGTTATACCTAAACTAGAGGGCGGACACAAACCGGCCATCATTTGAAACAAAGTCAGAAATGTTGGTATAATTTTCATTTTATAGTTATAATAATAAATCAATTGAATGCTTATCGTAAGAAATAATCCATAAATAATACACCAATTTATTTGAAACCTAATACCTATAAAATGGCCAAAACCGCCCAAAACTGTCATCATTTCAATATCTTTGCTAAAAACTAATTCAATCAATAGTAATTTAATTAACATAACAACGAATGTAATGAATATAATGACCGGTTTGTTAATTATTAACCGATTGTTGGATTTAAAAACATATGAATATAAATTCAAACCAATTTTGTAGAGCTCTTTATCCGCCGATTTTATCACTAATTCTTTGGGCAAATTCTTGTTTATTTTGATTGCATTCATAATTACTATATTTAAAGCAATGTATTATACATGTATGTGGTTTGGAGTATTAGTATTTAATACAAATTAATAATTTATTTAATATTTGTTTTAGTTTGGTGGACGTTAAATCAGTGATACATTATTAAAATACTTATTTCCATATATAGTATTTACAAGTTTCAAAATCAGTTCATTTTAGTGAAAATAATAATTAATTATTAGTACATACAGTAGTACGTACATAGTGTATACTCATTCTAAATGTCCAAATGTACTTGAATAACTAATAATAAATATAATCATCATTAAAATATTATCTAAAATTATTTATATGTCATGTTATATAATAATTAATTTACAATAGTGTTATGTAAAGGGGCAGTCAAGTAATCTTGCGGCTCGCGTTTTGGACATTACTCCTAAAATACAAGAGATAATTAGATTCTGTAAAATGGATATAATAGAGAATTATCGGGGAAATTTTTTGTATATTTCATAAATTTATTTTGGTCACGTGGTATACAAAATATGGGACAATTCGAAATGGTCATA